AGAGAGAGAGAGAGAGAGAGGGAGAGAAAGCGGGGGGGGCTGTGTTTGTGTTGTGCATATGAGTTTAAGCACGTAAGAAAAAAGTCTGAATGTTACACACCAAAACACTCATGTCTCTGGAAGGCATAATTTTAGTGAATTTTCACCCACCTTTTATCTGGTTTTTAAAAATGATGGGCGTGTATTTTTATAATGGAGAAAAAATGAGTTTCATTTTGAAGAAACCATATCCACTGAAGTCATAATCTCTTGCTGATTAATTTCTGTTGAGATAATGTCTGCTTTTATTTGCAGATGGACACATGTTGGATTCAAAGAGATATGCCATTGTTGGAGCCGATCTCCGCGACATACCTGAACTGGAAGAGAAACTAAAGAAATGTAACATGAATACACAGTGAGATTGTTTTTTAACCTCTTACACATTTGTGGTTTCGTGCTAACACGAGATAAAGCCGGCTGCAAGAGCAGCGTGATCCTACATCCCACTTTTTGTTCTGTAATATTTTTATTATTTCATTGCTACGTAGTCATTTTCTGAAATTTTTTAGAAGCACTATTTCTCAAGTCTGCTTTTACACCCAGATCACCTGTATTGCTTTTGTAAAAATATTGCTGCGTACTATAAACAGTTGGAAAGAAGAGAATTGTATGTGTAGAAACATACAATCGTAATGTACAAAGAAAGGGCTAGCATCCAGAATATATAAAGAACAGCTACTGTAAAAAAAACAAAAACGAGTCCCACAGAAAAACGGGCACAGAACAGATGATCAGGCAACTCAAAGAAGGAACTGAATATCGCATGGAAAGGGTACGGACCCTCAGTAGGAATCAGATCAAGCTCCATTTTACTCCCATCAAGTGGGCATAAAAAATGTAAAAGTCTGACATTGTCACGTGCTGACAAGGGCCCATGGGAAAAGGGACGGTTCTGCAGCACTGGTGGACGTGAACTTGGTATGACCACTGTGAGGAGCAATCTGGAAGTAACTATGTGTGAGCCCAGGCAGGGCAGCTCCAGCCCCAGGCGTGTCCCCTGCACATTTGCACAGGAGGGCATTCACGGCAACCGCCGTTTTCAGTAGCCAGAAATATGAAACAACCTAAATGTGCATCGGAGGAGAGTGGCTGAGTCGTGTGTGACATGCACGGCCTGACCTAGATCAGCGTGGAGAAGGCTTCGGATTTCATGCTGCGTAAACAATACAGTCAGGTGGCAGAATAATAGCGGTGTGATAGCAGATATATAAAACCACCCCCCCACCCCCCCAGAAGTGTATGTTCATGATCCTTTATGTACATCACAAGAATTGTTAAAATGGACCAGAAGCGGTCACACCAGATTCTCGAGGGAGGGGCCTCTGGGGGCACAGGAGGGCAGAGAAGGGTGGGTTAGCACAGTGACATTGCCCATTGTTAGACTGGAGTTAGAGAGCTAGTGAGAGGGAGAGATGTCTACACGGCCTCCTGGGGGTGAAGATGACACTTGAAGAATGTTTGAGGTGAGTAATTCAAGGGAGAGGTTTGAGGGCAGCGTACAGTCGGGCTTTTATTTTAAATAACGTTGAAGGCAGAGAATCAGTGGCGAATGATTCAAGAAAGTGGCAGCTTGGGGGACCCTTGCTAGAGAGGGAGGGAGGGTGTAGAGCATGGACGGAGCCTAACAGTCCTTCAAGGGACGGGAACGGCCCCCGTTCTTCTGAGGGGAGGAAAGAAGGTACAGACAGGTGCACACAGGTGAGCTTTGGGGGATGGAGGGCAGGGAAGCGTAGCGAGAAGAGCTTGACTTTTCTCACACCTTTCGCTTATGCACCTCTTGTTTACTTGTTTAGCCTGGAGTCACCAGCCAGGCCGCTGACAGGATGTCCACACCCACCCGCCCAAATGTTAGGAACACTGTAACGGGCCCAGTGCTGTCACCCCAGCTGCATTTTCTGAGGCCTTGTCTCACCGAGTGGTCAGAGAGCACTCTTCAGTACCCTGTGAAGAGTATCTTCTTTTCTTTGGGGGGCCCTTTGTGCGGCTCACAGATTGCAGGGGATAGTGTGTTCTTACAGCAGGAGGGACGTCTTCACGTTCAAGGTCAGCACTGGTTTTCTGGGCACGTTAGTGAGGGACGCTCAGTAGTGGATGGTGAAAGCCGAAACCAATAGGCCTGGGGCTCTCTTGGCACCGGGGACTCTCACCCTGGGTTCTGCTCGGATCCTGCTTGTTAGTTAGTTGATAGGGGCAGTTTATTTTGTTTTGTTTTGGAACCTGTGAGCCTCTTTCAAAAATTAAGGGCTTTAGATGTTTCCGTAGGAGTTTGTTGCTTTTCCGGCTTCATAATGTGTTCAGTCCTTTGAGTCTGGTAAGTCAGAATGCATACTAATTAATAATGTAATTTCTGAAGACTGTTCATGTTTTTAGTTCTCGATGGTAAAAGCTTATATAAGAAGAATTAGATTCTGTTACATGAATAAATACCAGCATTTTCATACTGTATCAACCAGCTCGTAACTGTAACAAATCCTTCCAGACTCAGTCGTTTAAAACAACTCACAGTTCACTTGCTCGGGAGTCTAAGTTGGTAGTTTGGGCGGGGCTTAGCCGGGCGGTTTTTCTGCTGGTGGCAGGCTTAGCTGATGTCCCCTGAGGTTCAGTCGTGTGTGTGTGTGTGTGTGTGTGTGCGCGCGCGCGCGCGTGCGCGCGTGTAGGCAGCCTTCTTCATCCCCTCCTCCAGCAGGAGACCCAGCGCATGTGCGAGTGATGGTGAAACTATTGCATTGTGCCTGCCACTGTCCCCTGGGCCACAGTGAGCTCGTGGCCGACCTGGCTTCCAGGGGAGGGACCTGAACCCACCTCTCAAGTGGCAGAGCCTGCCGTTTCGTGCTGCCTGTGGGGTGGGGGAGAATTTGTAGCCATTTAACCCACTTCACCAGCAGACAAACCGCTGCTCACGGCTCAGGGCTCACCTTAGTGCAGAATCAGACCTGGGTGGCGATACTGTCACCCTCGCGTCCCGTGCTGATGACATTGTGCTTGTGCGGTGCTCCTGTTCTGGGCCTGACGTGCCCACCCAGCACCGCACGTGCTCACCTGGAGCCCAGGTTGCTGGGAGCTCAGGTGCCGCTTTTCCTCCCCTCCAGGCTGCCAACCCTGCTGATAACCGAGTGTGTGCTGGTCTACATGAGCCCCGAGCAGTCTGCAAACCTGATCAAGTGGACGGCCAGCAGCTTCGGGACGGCCATGTTCATAAACTACGAACAGGTACGGGGGCATGGGCTGTGTGCTCTGCTGGTCCCCGGCAGCAGCTTTCCCTCCGGCCACGCACACGTGTCCTTTCTTAATCGATGCCAGTGGTCCCACAACACCTGACTTCTTGACTTCCTGCAAGCTTTCAGCCAGAGCGTTTGGAACTTCCAAGAGTTTTTGAGTTCTTACTTTCTCGTCATGTTTTCTGTCGAGTCCTAGCCCGTGATGGAGGAGCCTGGGCTGTGGTCAGCGGGGGCAGCAGGCTCAGGTGATGCAAATGGAGGGAGGTGGCCACGTGAGCCATGTCAAGTGGCAAGGGAGCACTGATGTCCCATCTCACGGGAGCGTCCACGTCCGTCCCAGCCAGTTGTCACCGTGTGGGCCCTGAGCCTGGAGTTGCTGGAAGTCGCAGCTTTTCAGGAGAAGTTAGAAATGCAAGATGTTAATATAGAATTCCCTGATTTGGAAAACCACCAAGTTTGGTCCACTGGCCGCCGTTTGCCTCGCCTGATCTCGTGTAGAAAGGGTGGTTTCAGAGCTTCGTAACCATCCCGCTGGGTTTGAATCCTGGCGCTTGTTCTTATCACTGGCTGGGTGACCTGAGACAGAATTGCTCGGGGGTTGGGAGTCCATGCTCTGGAAGTAGACTTCCCAGCTGTGTGACCTGGACAAGTCACACAACCTCTCTGGGCCTGTGTCCTGATCTGTAAAACGAAAGTCCCGACTTGCTGGGGTCGCTGTGAGGAGTGACTGGGTTACTGTGCACCAGCATTCACAGCCCTGCCCTGTGTGTGAGCACGTGGCAGCTGCTGTTGGGAGCTCCCGGGGCCCCGTTCTTTGTTTATAAAGGGAGAAGAATGCCAGCTCTTGGTTGTCACGGGAATTCGCTGTGGGCACCGGCTAAGCATGAATACATGGTGGCTCTTTTTATTGTTTACCTTACTTTAGTTTTACTGATTTTGTTTTCTGTCATTTTATTTTTAAGTTTTATTACAGATGAGAGCAGTCCAGGGCCTTGCCCAAGGTCACGTACTTATTTAGGTCTCCTGGCCTCGTCCCCACCCTCCCAGTGGCTCGGGGCTGGTTGGTTTCCTTCCCTCCCTCTTTACTTGGGGCCGGTCCTCAGGCTCGGTCTCCGTTCCTGGTGAGTGGATGTGAGGGCAGCTGGCCTCCTTGGCCTTCTCGCTCTGATGTGAGTAGGGCCTAGGGACCTGTCTTGGTTCTCAGGATACCACGCCTGGGGAAAATGAATTCTGCTTTCCCCGTTTCCACACACGCCTAGTGTGTACTGCTCTGTCCCCCTGGCTTCATTTAAGCATCTTTCCATTCAAGCCTTTGTCCAGCACCAGATGGAGATGGCGGGCTGAGTGAATTTTGACTGGGGACCCTGTCACCCTGGAGCAGGCCTGGCAGCGTGCACAGCTGGCCCCGAGCTGCTCACACCATCCGCCACCCGCGCTTTGTGAATAACAAACACGTACCTTAATTCCGTAATTTTCCAAGCGGCCCAGGCCCGTCGGCATCCTTGTGTGTGAGTGCTCGGTGCCTTACGTCACTTCCTACTCAGTAGTCGACAGTGACAACTACACGGACGGTGGTGGCTTTCGTAACGATGACAGTGACAGCAAATTCTTAGACTCTACTGACTGTGTGGGCGGTATGAGACCCACATACATTAACTTTATCGTCATAATGTCCCACAAGGTAGTCCTCGTATTGTCGTGGCTTTCCGGAAAGGGGACTGGAGCACAAGGCAGGCAGCTTGCCCACAGCCTCATAGCTGTTACACGTCAGGCCAGGACTCCAGCGAGGCAGTGAAATGACAGCGTGTGTGCTCACAAAACCCTGTTCCCTGAATGAAAAGTGTGCACTGTGACCACTAGTGCCACCAAGGCCTTACATACCCAGCAGAGGATGACACTGGCCCTTGTCATCGTGTGAACTCTGGGAATCATTTTCTGTTATTAGTGCTGAGTTTTTATTACTGTGCATATGACAAAGTAATAGTGTGTATATTGTAGATGCTATAGTATGACAAAGTAATAATATATATATGGGGGTGGGTCCCAAAAAAATGTATACACGTTTTAGGAGATGTTATCTATGCTCAAGCACTAGTTTGCTGTAATCAGAAGTGTCTGGACGCTGATGGGAACCACTTTGAGCACCTCTTGTAATTGCAGACGTCAAGCGTGACTTGTATTCACCTTTTGTTATTGGTATATGTTGAGTGTAGTATTACAATTAATACAGTTTTTTCCTTTCTTGAAATGTGTATACATTTTTTTTGGCCCCCTCTGTATTGTATATGCTACGGTAGTGCACGTGAGGTTGTTTTGTGGCGTGTGGATTATGGCCTTTGAAACTATTTTTTATTCGAAAGTAATACCACATGCAGAATTTAAAAAACTCAAACAGTACAAAAGTTTAGACAAGTAAAAGTTAGTCTCTCGTAGCCCAGACCTCAGGCCTCTGCCCTGGAAGCAGTGCTGCTGCCAGATTCCAGAATTTTTCTGTGCGCATATGAACATAAGAGAGATTTTATTTTTCATAAAGGCAGATGGGAGAATACTGTGCGCATTCCTCTGTGCCTTGTTTTTCAAGAGTTCTTAGATCCTGGAGCGCATTCCATATCTATATTTATGTTTACATCTATATGTCTTCCTTTCCTGTTTTCACCGCTTTATACTATTTCATTACACGAAACCTGCCAGAATGTATTTAACTCCAAATGATGGGTATTTGAGTTTGTTCCAGGTTCTTCTATTGTGCTGAGAGCTGCAGTGAACAGCCTTGCACCTTTGCACGTGCGTGCAGGCACACCTGTGGGAGGGGTTGGTGGCAGTGGGTTGTGGGCCACAGGCCGTGTTGACAGCGGCCGCCTTCCCGCTGCCTGCCCTGGGTGACAGTGTGGCCGGCCCTGGTTACTGTGGGGCGTTGTGTCCTGGACGTACCGAGAGGAAGCCCACATGCTGACGCCCGGCCTCCTGTCCCTGCAGGTGAACATGGGCGACCGTTTTGGGCACATCATGATAGAAAACCTGCGCAGACGGCAGTGCGACCTGGCAGGCGTGGAGCCCTGCCAGTCCTTGGAATCGCAGGTTAGATAGCAACAGGGTCGCCCTGTCCCGCCCTCAGCCAGCCGTGGGAGGCCCCAGCCCTCGCACATCGGAGAATGTGGCACCCTCTCGAGAACCAGCACACGGGCCCCTGAGCCACCATGCTGGGGACCCAGGCCACTTTCCCGTGGAAAACACGTGTTTCCCCCACCCTGTTACTTTAGCTTCTTAGTCTGCAGTTTTCACACAACAGAAAAGTAGAGGGGACAGTGACATGAGCCCCATGCCCCGTCGTGCAGCTTCAATAATTAATGTTTCATAAATGCTGATTTGTCCCCCCCCCCAAGGCTTTTGTTAGTCCTGTTGTTGGAATGTTTTAAGGCAAATGACAGGATGCCCTTTTTTCCATAAATGCTTCAGTGTGAAACTTCTACCAGGAGGACCTTGTCCCCCAGGACAGGGGCAAGGCTGCGATCATGGCTCCACGTGACGTCGGCAGTAACTTGTAGCATCTGACACCCAGTTCACGTTCAGTCTCCCCCATTTATGCAAAACCGTGCTCATAGTTGGTGTATTTGAATCAGGATGCAAACATGGTCCACACTTTGGCTGATATGTCCCTAAATCTCTTGGAACCTACCATGGTCCCACCTCTTTTTTAAAATGTCATTTTTGGCTGGAGCGACACCTCCCACCCCTGCCCCGTTCAGGTAGGTAGCAGTGCATGTTAGGTGTAAAACACTAGAAAGAGAGAAGAAGGATGTGAGGGCCAGTGGGCTGGTGAGAGGGGCCACGTCAGAGACCCCTGTGCTCAGAGGGCGTCCGGTTGACAAAGTCCTCCGTTTCTCTCCCCTGCACGTTTTAGAAGGAACGGCTCCTGTCGAACGGGTGGGAGACTGCATCGGCCGTGGACATGATGGAGCTGTACAGCCGGTTACCGCGGGCCGAAGTCAGCAGGTACGGCGCGCAGGGGGTCGCGGCCCCGCTGTCCGCATCCTTCACACCGAAGCCAGCAAAGCCTGCTGGACTCGCTGTGAAACGTGTGGTCGCATGGGGTGGGCCCTTGCTGGGAGCCTGAGAACAGCTCGGCAGCTCGCAGCCCAGGCGGGGTTTGTGCCAACACGGGTGATGTAGTCAGAATAAGCAGTTACACCTGGGCAGTTCCCAGAGCAGCCTCGCAGGTGGACCTTTGGCACGAGCCCTGGGTGGGAGGACGACAGAGGTTGTCTGGGGGCCGCTAAGAGGGGAGAGTCGACTGGCAGATTTTTCAATGGACTTCCTCTCATTGTGAAGAAATACACACTCAGTTCTAGAACGCTTCCCAGGCCATGCGAAGTGCATGAGGTGTGTGCTAGGTGTGCTCTGCGCCGCAGCCCGGAGAGCTCAGTGGGCGCGCACACAGAGGCGTGTTGCTGTACAGATTTCTGTTGTTGGAGTCAGCAGAGTCATATCGCATTAACCTGCAGGCCACCCTCCTTTTCAAAGACCCGAACAACAGGTTGAATTTATCTTTACACATCAAAACATTGAGCGGTCACATGGCCTGTCTGAGGGTGCATGGCATTCCTGTCACACGTGGATTTGTGTGGGGGTTGGTTGTCGTGTCCTGTGCCCTGTTTTCCTTCCCCTCTGACAGAAAACCCTGGCGGGTGCAGTGCCACATACACCTCTGCACGGCACTGGTGCCAGTGGGGTCTTCTTAAAATAATGGTTCTGTACTTCCTGCCTTGTGCTTCCTCGTGTCTTTGGGGACCGACAGGTATGAGGACCTAGAGTTTGGTCTCTTGTGAGATGATGAGAGGAACCTTTGGTCTTGCTTCTCCACAGAACTTACCACGTTTTACAAATATCGCCTTTTTCAAGCCTGTACCTCTGAGCCGTGAGGGTCTGTACCGTCTCTACGTGATCAGGATTCCTCTAGAGCTTTCCTTTCCCACGGGCTGCTTGTCACTGGCTGTGTGCCCAGACGATTTTCATAGCCCTAGACTGGCCTCTGTTATAGAGAATCCCTAGGTACCTGGGGAGGGTTACCGTCTGAGTGGTCATTTGTCTCGCGTTGCCATAGACAGTAACCTGTGTCCCCAGCAGAGGTGGGCGGCTCTGGCCTGCCCCCCCAAGCTGAGCGGTCCCCCCGGCTCTATGAGTGCCGAGGGCTGTGCCCACATTTCCCAGGGACTCTTGCCGGATGCGTAAGAAGAGGCCTCAGGCAGGCTGTTGGTTTAAGAGACGCTGAGTGCTACTGTGTGCCACGCGTGATCAAGACAGGCCACGCGTAGGCCCGCCTTTGGAGTCCCCATTCTCATGAACAGCGTCACCACCTAGTGCCTCCTGGCAGCTGACCTTGTACTGACCACCTGTTATGGTGCTGCTTTCTTCTAGAACTTGGTTTTAGGAAACCTGTCTTGGACGTTTTCTGATTAGTTAGGAAGCAACCAGAGTACTTTATAGCTAGACATTCTCATTTCAGATGTGACCCTTAGGCCTGAATACACAGATACAGAAGCATGCACAAGCGTGCACAGTGCACACATGTACACACACGTGCACACAGCCTGGATGAATGGTAATACCAGAATATTAGCAAATGCTGCTGTGAAGAGTGGGAAGATAGATAATTTTTTCTCTTCTTTTTTAAACTTTATTGGGTAACTGTGTTTTTTCCAGGGCCCATCAGTTCCAAGTCAAGTTGTTGTCCTTCAATCTTAGTTGTGGAGGACGCAGCTCAGCTCCAAGTCCAGTCGCCATTTTCAATCTAGTTGCGGGGGAAAGGGGAGGGGGCTCAGCCCACCATCCCTTGTGGGATTCGAACTGGCAACCTTGTTGTTAAGAGCACGCTCTCTAACCAGCTGAGCCACCCGGCTGCCCCCTTATTTTCTTATACTTTTTTGGAAATGCCTAAATTTCCCCCTATGGTGTGTGCATATTTTGAAAGCAAATATTTTAAAAACCTATTTCACACGTTTGTGCATGTTTGTGTGTGTGCGTATATTTAAAAGTTGACATTTAAAATGCGCTTTTGAAATAAAAAAATCGTAACAAGCATGTCATTAAAAAAAAGAATGATTAGTATAGAGTGAGAACAAGCCCTCATCCCACCCACTTCCCGTCTATACCTTCTCTCATGACATGACCACGGGGCCGTGTCTCCTATGTTTCCGAGTCACCCCCGCACCTACGAGCATGTGCACCCCCACTTTCCCGTTAGGTGGTGGTGAGCTGTGCACATTGCTGACGAACCCACTTGCTCCCTAAATTCCCCAGTGTGTCCTGGAGGCCGTTCCGTGCCACTGCGCACAGGCAGACCTGCCTGGCCGTTTAAATGGCTGTAGATGTCCTTCTGTGCGGCTGCACTTTTGTGTAGTCAGCCAGCAGTTCCCATCTGCAGGGTTTTGGTTTTTGCTGCCTAGCAGTCGTGATGCTGCTGTGACGGTCCTCGAGCATGGATCTTTGTACATGAGGGTAAATGCTTACGCAGAACTGCTGAGTGACAGGATGCACACGTAAACCCAGAGAGGTGACAGTGTCCTCCAGAGAGGCTGTCCTGTTCTGTAATCCTGGTGATGCCAGCAAGCGCCTCTGCCCTGAGTCCTTTCCAAAGAATGTGCTAGCCTGTCCTTGTCCACCTGATGGTTGGAAAGGCATCTTATATTTAAGTTTCTCTTTCTTGCTCAAAAATGAGATTGAAAACCTGTTTTTCTATTCCAGTGAACTGGTCTTGCTCATTTTTTATGGAAGTATAGTTGGCATGTAATGTATTTATTTCAGGTGTACAACACAATGATTCAACGTTTATGTACCTTACGATGTGGTCACCATGCTCTGTGTAGGACCCGTCTGTCACCACCCATGGTTATTAGCGATATTATTCACTGCATTCCCTGGGCTGTACTTTACATCCCTGTGAGTTATTTTATAGCTGGAAGTTTGAACCTCTGATTCTCCCTCACCTTGTCATCCATCCCTCCACCCCCACCCATCTTTTAAATGAATTTTTGAAGTTTTTCTTATTCAGTTGCAACAGCTCTTTACATAGCAAGGAAATCTTCCATTTGTTGTATGTATTGCAAATGTTTTTTCTAGTTTGTCTGTTGACTTGTATTTTTTTCTTCTTGTCCATAAAAATGAATCAAACTGGAAGCATGTGGTATGGTAATACGTGCTATTTTATAGCCTCTTTTCACTTCGTCTGTATCATTTCGAATGGTTTCCATCTGTGTTGCTCTGTTCTCCCCACAGAATAGAGTCGCTCGAATTCCTGGACGAGATGGAGCTTCTGGAGCAGCTCATGCAGCATTACTGCCTCTGTTGGGCCACCCGAGGAGGCGGCGAGCTAGGTATCTCGTTCCACCTGTGTCTCTACCTAAGACTGGGCCCCTTTTCACCTGCAAAGACTGTGAGGCGTAACTGGGCCATTCAGACCGGAGGGAGCTAGAGGGCCGTACGTGTGTGCCCGTAAGCATGGCCAGGAGTAGCCCTCACATCCTGTGTGTTTTGGAGCTCATGTGCCGGCCGGAGAACCGGTCAGGTAGGTCCCGTGTACCGGAACCAACCAACCAGCCACCCTTTACCAGTCCGCTGTGGAGGTAGGAGACCTTGAGAGTTTAAAACAACAGTCTTCATAAAAGGAGTGGCATTCGCCTCCTTAACCAGCTTGTCAGCAGGGCTGGTCGTTGTGAAACACACAGGCCGTTGCCCGTCTAACGAACCCACGCGGCTGTGGGCTGATCTCTCCCTCCTGTCCCTTAAGAGTCGGAACCCGTGTCGCAGCCTGGCACAGCAGGGCCGCGGGGAGAGCGCCAGGTCATTGTCCCTCCTCCCTGTCACCTTGGTCTTAATCCAGCTCCTCCTCCTCAGCTGCCCCGTGATGGTCCTGCTCCCTCCGGGGCCCAGCCCTTGGGCGTCTCCCCAGCCCTTCGGATACCCTGTTAAGTCCCAGCTCTGGTCTTGAATGCCGTAGCTGATCCTCTAGCTTCCTGTAGACGTGTCAATGGCACAGCCTTAGACGGGCCGCTGTCCAAACCAGAAGGGGACAGGCGAGGACTGTGTGTCCCCGGTGGAGACTCTGGGTGGACACAGGGCTGCTCCTCACTCCCCTGGGCCTTCGTCCACAATTTCATAACTTACTCAGCTGTGCACTGGAGCCCACAGAATCCTTCCCAATTTGCTTCTGATTTAAAATCATATATTACTGGGTTTTTATAGTGTTTCCCCCCCCCCGCCCCATTTTAAAAACAATATAATTTTTAGTAGTTTCTAAAAAAAATGGCGAAGAAAGAAAAACCGCCAGAGCCCGTCTCGCAGAACCTCTCGTGCCCACCCCTCCAACTTTTTTCTAGCTCTGGTTCCGTCTTCAGCAGAGTGTATGTATTTGCATAGCTTTGATTCGTGATCTTTTCAAGTTAATATAACATGAGCGTTTCCCCCTTGCTGTGAACTTCTGCCACGAAGCTCCGTCCGAGCTCACTTAGCGTTCCCAACTTTGGAAATGTGGGTTGTCTGTGATTCTGTGTTAGTTTCTGCAGAGTGAGTGTATTGAGCTTTGTCCTGAGCCGGGGCTCTTTGGCACCCACTTCTGTGCTGAAGGGCCATCAACCCTGTACGTCTGCGCTGAAGGGCCGTGTCTCTGCCTGCTGAATCCTGCTCCTGAAGGACGCCCTTGGCATTTGCTGCAGCGCTCTCAGCCCCTTCACCACCCCGCGATCAGCCTCCCCTGAGCACGGGCTCCCTTGCGAAGCCTCGTCTCAGGAAGCAGGACACCAGAGCTGCCGTGATCAGACGGGGCCTGGGATCCGGGGGCCCCGGCAGGTGGCACTCTGCACCCGTCTGCTTTCTCCGCTCGACGCCAGGGGTCTCTTTACAACATCTGCGTGTTTCTTTCTTCCCCTCAGGCTTGAAGGAGATCACGTACTCATCTGTTCAAGGCTCAAGCTGAGCTGACGCTGAAGACCCTGGTCTTCCTGGACTTCCCTGAGCGCCGGCCGGGCCTCGTCTGCCGGTCCATACCACCCCCACCCCCATCACGAGGGCTGTCACAGCATTTCCTGCTCTGTTGATTTGTCCTTTAAATAAACCTCAGTTGCTATTGCCTGTGTGCCTGTCCTTTGCTGCCTGGGTGGGCTGTGCTTCCCCTGAGCCTGAGCAAAACCAGAGGCCGTGACCCCGCCTGTGAGTCGGATGCAGCTTGTGTCCTCACACCCTTTATGGGACTCACTCGTGTGCTCTGCTCGGCGGCACATGACCTTGGACCTTGCACCTACCCTGGGCCACCAGTGCTGGAGCTCTCTGCTCCAGTCTGCCCTCGCCAGACCAGCCTGCGAAATGCTTCCCTCGGTCAATGTGACAGGCTGAGTGACGGGCCCTAGAATGTCTGGTCCCTGGAACCTGTGGATAGTTCACCTTATGTGGCAAAACGGGCTTTGCAGGTGTGATGAAAGGTCTTGTGATGGGAGATTATCCAGGAGAGTGTGGTGGGCCCAGCATAACCATGGGGGTCCTTAGAAGAGGAGGCGGGGCGGCCAGTGGGAGGAGGGCGTGTGATGTGGCGAGGCAGGGTGAAGGTCCTCTTAGGGACACGGACGCCTGCGGCAGAGCCCGCCAAGGTAGCTGCCTCAGATATACATGACCGTCCCATGCCCCTCCTTAAAAGCCGTTTGCTGCCTCTGTGGTCTTTGCCTAAATTTGTCATCACCTTTATTCATCCCACAGATATTTATCAAGCACCTTCTATGTTTGTGACAAATTATCTCAGTGGTACTGACCAGAGAACTCCAGACTGACGGACAGGTTGCATTCCTGGAGAAGGTTGAAACTGCCCTTAGGTTGGGTATTCAGTCTAGGTTTGCTGTCATAGGCTTCGGCACAAGTGACTCCATTTGGGGACCTGTGCTTTTTTCATGCTTGCTTATCAGCTAGAACGGGTCGGCAAATTGCGGCTTGCCAGCTACATGCAGCTCTTTGGGGACATACACGGGGCTCTGAAGTAAAATTGAAAATAAAACTACCATAGTTTCACTTATACAAATTTTAAAGGATATTATTCACAAAATGGTGATTTCATTTGTTTATGGCTCTCGAATAATTTTTAAATTGTTGTGAGGGACAGGATTGGCTGTTCCATCTCAAAAGTTTGCCGACGCCGGGGCCGGCCGAATGGCACGTTGGTTAAGAGCTGGCTTGGGACGCCAGAGGGCCCGGGTTCGGATCCCACATACGTGGGCCAGTGACACTGCCCTCTACAGCTAAGATGCTGAACAACAGCTCAACCTGGAGCTGGGCTGCGCCGGTGATGGCAAAGGCTGCAGCCCCTGCTGCAGTGGGTTGCCATGGGCTACCGTGTGTAGCCAGCAGCAAGCGTGAGCAGCCAAGCAGCCGCCGTGAGCAGCTGCCCAGAAGCCGGCAACCGCTCTGCCTCGCCCGGGAAGAGCGCAATGATGGTGCCAGTTTGGGCCAGTGAAGCAACTTCCTCCACAACTAGACTGAAGAACAAAAGGACAGCAACTTGTCTGTTCCCCTTCCCCAATTCCCCAGCGCTGTTCCCTCCCCCAATTCCCCAATAAAATCTTAAAAAAAAAAAATCCACACAACAAGCCTGTGGGGATGGGAGGGGGAAACAGGCAGTGGGCACACGTGAGGTCTGATCCCCCAAAGCCCAGCTGTGTCCTGCTGGCTGCCAGGAGGCTCCCAGATGGCCTCTGCTGCCTGTGTCTGTCAGTGGGCAGTCATCCATCTGCCCGCTCAGCCCTGACCCAGGTGAGTGAGGGGGGGTTTGGGCGTCACATCCAGGGAGACGTTCGTGGACTCAGTGGGAAAACCTCTGAAGAGAAGTTTACTTCCCACGTGTGGCCCTAAGCCAGCGGGGCCTCCTCGTGTCCACTTACACAGGGTCCCCTTTGGACCCTGATGGTGACCGCGGCAGGCTGGGCAGCTGGGCCCTCCCTCACCTGCTGGAAAAGCCGGAGCCTTTTCCCCTGGTTGGCAGAAAGCTCAGCGGTCCTTGTCCAACCCCTGCCCTGCCCAGCTAAGGTTTAAAAAAAAAATTGTTTCCCCTTCTGGCCCCAGAGCCACCTCCCACCCGGGCTTTCTTTAAAAGGGCAGAGCCTGTAGCGGAATCAGCAGCTGGCCCGGAGATAAGAGTGTCCCGGAGAGCAGGTGTGGGTTCCCAGCCCACTCAGCAAGAGCCTGGTCGCGTGTGGCCTCAGCACTGATGTCTGGAGAGGTGGGCCCACTGCTGACCTCTGCCCCTCCAGCCGGGCCCTCCCAGGGGTTCCTGGGAATTAATCCCTGGCTGGGGATGAGAGGGCTTCTCCCCTTCTCCCTGACCCCTCGCCCTTTCCCCTTCTGCAGGCAGCTGTGTCTATGTGTGACCTTGAATTTGGCAGTGGCACAGCCGAGGAACCGGGCATGGGGTCCGGGTGCCGGGGGTTCTGGTACGAGCGGCTGGTGCAGCCCTGCCTGGTCGAACTGCTGGGCTCTGCCCTCTTCATCTTCATCGGCTGCCTGTCGGTCATCGAGAATGGCCCGGAAACCGGGCTGCTGCAGCCGGCGCTGGCCCACGGGCTGGCCCTGGGTCTCATCATCGCCTCGCTGGGGAATATCAGGTGAGACCAATGCGTGCACTAACCTGTCAGGTGCTAACTTGGGGAGCTGGCTGGGCGCTCAGGATTCTGTGGGTACTGTGGATCAGGGTGTGGGCTGGGGGCGGACTGCCTGGGCTCAAATCCTAGCTCAGCAGCCTACATGCTCCGTGTCTCCAAACCCCAACGTTCCCACCTTGGATGTGGGAACACAGAGTGCATGTCAGCTACCTTTCCACAAGCTCACGTGGACACCTTAGTGCTGACGCGAGCCAGGCGCCACGTGAGGCACGTCATGCGGTCCCAGCCGGCCACCCCCCGATGGGACCCAACAGCCACCTGACTTGCCTACTGATGGATGTGAACTAATTGTGGTCACTTCCCAATATATACAAATATCGAATCAGCGTGTTGTACGTCTGAAACGAATACAGTGTTGTATGTCAGTTAGGCCTTAATGATAATAAAAAAAGGAAACAAGCACGGTTTTTACTGGTTGAGTAGTTTGACCAATCAGAGCCTCCTTCCTTCCCAGGCCAGGCCAGGACGCCCCCGCGGGCCACCAGTGTGGTGCCTGGGGTCTCGCTCCGACCAGTGTATGTCTCTGACGGGCTGGGAGGGACTCTGAGGGGTTCTGTGAGGAGTTGGAGACGTCCCCGCCGTGGCCTTCCTCTGGGGTATGGGCGGGGCAGGGTCGGCTGCGCCCTGCCACCTCTCCCTCACTTCCCTTGCCCACCGCCCAGCACCTGGTGGAGTGGGTGCAACTCGGTGCCCGGTCCCTGCCTGGACGGGCCCTTGACCGACCCTGGCACTGCAAGGCCAGCCTGGAGGGTGGCTGGGATGCTGGCCCTGGGGCGCGACCTGAACCTGGGCCTCCTGACTGACAGTGGTGGCCACCTGAACCCTGCCGTGTCCCTGGCGGCCGTGCTGGTCGGAGGCCTTCACCCGATGCTGCTGCTTCCGTACTGCATCTGCCAGCTCTGCGGGGGGCTCGTCGGGGCTGCCCTGGCCAAGGTGGGTGACTGACGCCCGAGGAGCTGGGCTGGTGGTTTTGGCTCTCATGGGGCCTCTGGGCAGGGGATGGGGGGGGGTGCAGGAGAGGGACTGTCCAGTCTTCTGTTTTCTCCAGTGTGGTTGGATGGGCCCCTCTCTGCTGGGGAAGGGGACATCCAAAGGGCCTGTGGTTGACTCCAAACTCGCCTCGCTCTGTCCATGTCTGGACAAGGCCCTTCCCTGGCAGAATTCAGGACCAGAGGCTTTTCTCCCTGAGCCCATTTCCGGCTTTGGAGTGGATTTGCTACTTTGAGTGTTGTTTCGCTGATTCATTCATTCATTCATTCATTCATTCATTCATTCATTCATTCATGCTACCAACATTTCACTAAAGACTGACTGGGGTGCAGGGTGAATAGGATTATTCTACCTGAGAGACTCCTGACCTGGCCCCTCTGTGTGTCCTGCGATGACCCCTGAGGCCGATTTCCTGCGAAGCTGATGGAGCTCAGTCTTCAGGGTCCTCTGCCCCTTTGAAGGACCTTGTAGGAGCTCACAATGCATTCACTTGGTCACATATGTTTGCAGAGTTTGTAAAAATAAGGCAATCTTGTATTCTTTTTCTCAAAGAGGGCCACTGAGTTATGTACGCTCTAGGCCCACAACCTCTGTGTCCCTGCTGGGTTACCCCACTTCACAGGGGAGAAAAACAAGGCTCGGGGAAGTCCAGTAGCTCACATGGAGCAAATGGTAAAAACTGGCGGAGCCGGGACGCGGCCCCGGAGGTGCCTGATGGGACACCACACAGGTGGGGACGCCCGTGTTCAGGCCATGCCCCTCAGCTCCCGCCGCCTCCCGGTCCCCGCGTCTCTGCAGGCTGTGAGTCCCCAGGAAAGGTTCTGGAATGCGTCGGGGGCGGCCTTCGTGACTGTCCAGGAGCCGGGGCAGGTGGCCGGGGCGGTGGTGGCAGAGGTCGTCCTGACCACACTGCTGGTGCTGGCTGTCTGCATGGGCACCGTCAACAAGAAGACGCAGAGCCCTCTGGCTCCGTTCTCCATCGGCTTGACCGTCACCGTGGACATCCTGGCAGGGTGAGTGTGCCCTCAGCAGTGGGTGCCCGGCCCTGGGCAGAGCTCGGCTCTGAAGGAGGTCAGGCCAGCAGAGTTCTGAGGGGCACGGACTCAGCTGCCAATAGGGGCCAGCAGGGTGATGCCAGTGGGGGACGAGGACTGGCCCTGGGCAGACAGCGGGGAATGTGGGGACTGTGGTGTGTACAGAGGCGCCACTGGTCACCTCTGGGAAGTGACTGCCAGGTGGGCCTGGGAGCAGCCACCTTCTGAGTTCCTTCCAGGGAGTCAGGAAACTGGGATTTTATGTGAAGTCATCCAGTTTTCGTGATATCGAGAAAGCCTTTCTCAGGCTGTGCTCGGCCCGCCGGTGGGTGGCCAGGGGTGGGCCTTGGACTGACAGAGCCTGCCTCTGCGGAGACTCGGAGGGGGTTTGGGAGGTGAGGCTAGGTCAGGGTTACTGCCTCATTTTACCTGTGAGGACACTGAGGCTCCGAGCACACACATGACGTACTGAAGGTCATTGGGCAGCCCCAAATCAAGTGACAGTTCTGGGATAAGAGCCCAACTGTCCTGCTAGAGAGGGTGCGGGGCCTCCCTGCTGCGCGGGGCCTCCCTGCTGCCCGTCTCCTCCCCGGCTCTGCCCTCCAGCCCAGTCACCCTGCGGCAGGTGGAGTCCGAGGCCGGGGCAGTGGGCGGAGAGCATGGCAGAGCTTTGCCGCCCCCTAGTGGCTATTGGCTCACTTGCAAGCCCATTGGCTTCGGCCCCTGGACGTGGGGCGGGGCGGGGCGGGGCGAGGTGTGCAGGACCCCACGTGAGTGAATGGGGAGGGGCGCAGGCAGCAGGACTGGAGGGGCGCACCTGGGCCCCCGTCTCTGTAGGAGGTGCCGGGTCAACTAAACACGGCAGGAGCCACATGCGTGACACGGGCCGCCCGTGTATTTCCTCCTCGATGCCTGATCACAACCCGGAGACGCAGAGAGGTCACACAAGGTCACACAACAGAAGGCGCTGGGCTGGGTTCTGACTCTAGGTCCGCTTGACTCCAAAGGTCACTTGACTGACCACTGCCTGACTCGCGTTCTCCCCTTTGGAGAGAACCTGGGTGCATGTCCTCGTCCTGCCATCCCAGCACAGGCAGTCCTTTCTGCACATCCTTCTAGAAGGGGGTGTGGGAGGGGGGACAGGGTCAGCCTGTCACTTCCTGGTGCTAACAGCCACTTTCCCTGTGCCTTCTCTGGAGCCCCCAGACCCCGTGATACATAGCTTGGGGAGCTCTGGGTGACACGGGGAAATGCCCTTGGGGCGAGCTGGGCCTGGCTGTGGCCTGGTGACCCGTGTGGCTGGCATTTGCAGGGGAGCCGTGTCTGGAGCCTGTATGAACCCGTCCCGGGCCTTCGGACCCGCCGTGATGACCGGCCACTGGACCTTCCACTGGATCTACTGGCTCGGCCCACTCCTGGCCAGCCTGCTCGTTGGCGCGCTCGTCAGGTATGGGTGACACAGGCTACTGCCACCCCCCCACCCTGCAGTGACACCTGGTGAGTTCCCAGAGTGTCCGGCTAGAGGACTTGGCCTCACCTGGTTTGTGGATGAGAAGAGGAAGCTTATTCAGGGGCGAAGATGAGGGCCCTGGGGACGCAGCTCACTCCCCGAGGGGTTCACTGGCCCCGTAACATGGTCACAGGCGGCATTGGCTCCCGGCAGGTGCTCATCAGTGTCTCAGGACTCAGCCTTTCGTGGCTCTGTCCTCTGGTGGGCTCCCCAGGAGCGGGAGCAGCTCCCTACGGGGTGTGTGCAACTCCGGGGGCCCCACCCACACAGGGAACCACACAAACGCTGCCCCCAGGAGCATGTGTGTTAGGGACACCGGCCGTTCACGTAGAATGTGACGGGACAGCGCTCCCGAGCTGCGCAGTGGGTGACAGGTTGGCGTTAGCAAGAGGGTGACGTCTGCCTGACGGCCTGTCCTCGGGCCACCTCCTGTGAGCCCTCAGGATCCTGTTCTCTGCTCCGGGCCGTGCAGGGGTCAGGGTCCTGCCTGCTGCTGTCTGGGACGGGACAGGACAGGGCCACCCAGGCCGGCCTCTACCTGCCTCACTGCCCTGCGGTCCTGCCTTGGCCTGCGGCTCAGTGAGCAGCGTCCTCACTGGTCATCCTGTCTGCTGTCCTCAGAACGGTACAGATGAGCATCTTCAGGAAACGTGTCTCTGCCTCTCCCCAGGGGGTCTCCAGATTCAGGCTGGAAACTTCTGGAGATGTGGGTGAGGGCTGGTGTCTCCCCCAGGGGCTCGGAGACCTCACTGTGCCGCCTTTTTGCAGGTTATTCATTGGAGATGGGAAGACGCGCCTCATCCTGAAGGAACAGTGATGCCGAGGGTGGACTTCCGCTGCCCGGTGCCCTCAGCGGGCCCGGCCTGGATGGCGGCAGGGCAGCTGCGTTTCCCGTGGGGCAGAGGCCCAGAGCAGCGGCCCACCTGCTGCCCTGACTTACCTGGGCCCGGCCGCGCAGACGGACAGACGCTGCTGAGTCCTGAGGGTGCTGTGGGTCCTGGGAACCCCTCCTTGCTCATCAGAGCCCCTGCCTGGGGGACGTGAGGACAGCACTGCCCAGAGGGAGGGATCAGCAGCACGTCAGACACGTTTCCTGAGAGCGGAGAGGTCGCAGGAGTGGGAGAGCAGTCAGGAGAGGTGGCTGTGCAGCCACCAGCTCACCTCCTGGCCTTTCTCCTCTCCCGACCACTGTTGCCGGAGAGCCGTCTGTGGTCAGCCATTGCCTTGCTTCCTCAGCTGCCAACCCAGCTTTGCAATAAACAGCCCAGTACTCCCTCCCTCATGTCCACTGACGCGCCTTCCATCTCGGGAGGAAGCAAAAGGCCGGGCTGGGCCTCGGCTGTCCAGTCTGGTTAAGGCTTGAGTCGGCTTAGGGTCCAGCGCCAACCTCGCACTTGGGGCACAGGCCACCCTCCTACTCAGCCAGACCCGCTGAAGCTGTCTGGAGCTCAGGCCATTCTAGAATCCACTCTGGACACTGGTCAAAACCAATTCCAGATCACAGCCCTCAGGGCCCAGGGTCTGGCTGAGTGGACTTTCCAGGACACAGACCAGCCACTCAGTGCATTCCAGCTAGGGACGAGGGTGGGTGTGCGGTGGGCCAGAGCTGCAAGAATTTCCCGAGGAAATAGATAATGGGGCAAAATACAGGCCTGGGGGACACTGACATTGGATGGAATATGTGAGTATAATGATAAGAAAACATAATAGAAGATAAAAGGACATTCTGAACTTCACACTTTACAAGTAGAGGGCGTATCTCTAAGAACCTGTGGATTATTTATGGAAGATGGTCGTTATGACATCGTGAAGAAATACCAGGGAAAAATTATCCTCAACAACAAACAGAAAACCCACCTGTTGCTGTGAGATGAGCAAAATTCTCGGCTGAGTAGAAATGAAGAAGATGCTCAGTCGAGAAAATCACCAACTTCTTATGGCGAAAATGGACACTATATACCCCAAACATAAAGAAAGGCAAACACAGATGATAACCACAAACCTAAAGAAAACGGGAGGAAATAATATGATAAAGTCAGAAACAAACAAATCAGCACACTCACAAAGTGAAAAGCATTGAAAGTTCCTATTTCTTTTGGTGAGACAATGAAATAGACCTTTGGTGAATCTAGTGAATAACAACACAGTTACGTGTACACACACACCTGACATTTATTTTATTGTGGGACCAGCACTATGCAGAATGGTTTACACGTATTATCTCATTTCCTCCCCACAGCTGTCATATAAGTTAGGGCAGTGGGTTGAATATTGTCCCCCCAAATTCATGTCATACGTGGAACCTAAGAGTGTGAGCTTATTTGGAAATAAGGTCTCTGTGGATGTGATTAAGGACCAGTTAAGGTGAGGTCACACTGGCTTTGGGCGGCCCGAGTCCGACGAGGGCGCTTACAAGGGGAGAAGGGGTCAGAAGACAGGCGAGGTGTGAGGAAGCAGAAGAGGCAGAGACGCCACCACACGCCAGTGGGGGGCCACCAGGAGCGAGAGGACGCAGGCAGGATGGTCCCCTACAGCCTATGCAGGGAGCCTGGCCCTGCTGACACCTTGACCTGAGACGTCCGGCCTCCAGGACTGTGAGGATAAGTTTGTGCCGTTTGTTACGGCCGCCCCACGAGACCAACACAGGTAGGTACTCTTCTCATTCGCTTTCCAGAGAAGCAAACGGAGGTTCCAAGAGATGACGTTACACAGTCACGTGAGTCAGCACGTTGGTGGAGCCAGAACCTAAGGTCAGGTCCCTTCGGCTGCGGGGTCCATGGTCTCTGTTGTCACACTTCTCTGGTTCTGCGGAGGGACAGTGTGTGTCTGCCTGTTAGTCCCCCGTTGAAGTTTTGCAGGCGTGTCATGGCTGGGGGCGGGGGCTCCTAATGGAGTCGGCACAGACGTGTTTTCTCTGTCAGCTGCCCTCAGAGGGATGCTTGGGTCTCCCGATGGGAGAAGGCTGGGGAGCATTCGTGTGACCAGCAGGATTTGGGGCACAGTTCGTGGTTCTTTCTACTGCACAGGCCTGTCCTTCTCCAGACCCCTGGGGCCGAGTGCTGACTCCTCCCCTCCTGCCATGTTGTTGGGGGTCTGGGCTGCTGCTCTGCAGCCCTCTCTCAGACCCCCCAAGAGCTCTGCCAGCTTAAGCAGCCTGAAGGGAAGTGCGCCCATGTCTACTCGCGTGGAACTTGCGTGGTGCCAGCCCTGCTGCCACTCACCTCTGCCGCGTGGTGCCGCTGTTGGCCGTGTCCTCAGGCATGTGCTGTTGCCAAGTCACACTTGACCAGGCCAGGGTGCTTTCTTGGAAGAGGGGTCCTTTTCTGGCAGTTCCACCCCTCCCCAGCCAACCACGCCTGCGCGGTCCACAGGCTCCGTGCTCTGGGATCCAGGCGACGTGAGGCCGAGGCCATCCCGGCCCTGCCCCCACCGCCTGCCCCTACCGCCGTTCTCCAGAGTCCCACACCTCAGGGGCTTAGGCATTCGCCTCTCTTGGAACCCAAAGCCATGTCCCCTCCAAGTCCCTGGACCCGCCCAGAAGTTTGGGGCTGTGACTAGCGATGTTCCCTGTAGTGCCGGGAACACAGAGCATCGTTCTCTCCCGTAGAGTCTGATCGTCGTAACTGGTTTATAGGAATTGGAATTCACTGGCCCGTGGAGACTTAGCTGCTCCCCTCGTTCCCAGACCTGCATCTCTGTAAGGGAACGGGGGAGAACGCTGAGGTGACACCACACACGGATGTTCTAGGTCTGTATCTTAGCTCCTCCAAAAAGCGTGTGGCCATTTACTCAAGAAAAATATGGGGACCCACAGGGGCCCTTAGATACTGGCTCTGGGCACTTGCACTCTTGGGGACCTTGGGAACCACTGCTGTTGGACACACAGAGTACAGGCTCTTGCAGTCCAGGCCGGGGATGCTCTGTGGACACTGCCTTGTGTCGGGTGCTCCGCTTTCCACGCCCACCCCGCGCGCGGCTCTTCCCGGTCTCGAGAGCACAGCTGGGAATGCAAACGACTCCATGACCACGGAGCTGGGACAAAGGGGTAGGTGGAAGCCACTGGAACCCTTCACACCAAGACAGGAAATCACAAGTCTTTGGGGAATCTGGAGACTTGTTCCCCATACAAGGCTGTGGGCGAGTGCCCCCCAGGACCAAGGCTGACCCAGCCATCCCCTGGGACTGTGCCATGGTCACTATTAGGACCGCAGCCCCCAACAGCTGTGGACGACACTGAGCTGCTCTCAGCTACGAGCACCGGCTCGTGTTGCCTCCGGGAGAAGTTCGCTTTTCCCTTAATGGGAGACATCCTTCAAACAAGGGCAAAACCAGTGGGAGTCAAGTACTGTAGACATTTATTTCACACACAGGTTTTCAAGAAGACATCTAAGTGACACACCACAGAGGACAGACAGCACACCAGCATGTGTGCAGATGGACCTCACAGGCCACACATGTGGGGCTTCCCTGGCCGGACACTGGGCTCCAGGCCACACACAGTAGGTTTCCTCACGCAGCTATTGAGGTGCCTGGGGGCCGCCTGCTGCTGACGTGAGTGGTCCATGCTTCTCTCTGAGCAGGCTCCGGACCATACACTGCACCCCTGTGCCCGCCTGAGGCAGGAAATGGGGCTGTGTGCGGTGGGGGTCAGGCGGACACCTGGCCTTACGGCCCCCTCCTCACCCAAGATTGCTCCCCAGCCTCAAAACACCAGGGCTGGAGCAGTCTTGGCAGCCAAGTTCAAGCTCTCCTCAGACATGGTGCTCAGGCCCAGAGGGGGCTACAGTCTGTCCAACACCACTCAGGAAGTGGCTGGAACAAGACCAAACTTTTGGCTTCCGCTGGAGTGCCCATTCCAGCACGGCAGCGGCCCTGGGCGGCCTGTGTGTGTGACGTTTTCCTCTTTAAACAAGCGGGGTTTCCTTCCACAGAACACATCAGGCTGCATGTGTGACTGAGTCCCCACAGGCTCTGCAGGGCCCGTGAGGCTGAGAGCACGCCTGGCAGGGGGCATGGCCAGCGTCCAGGTGCCTTGGTGGACATGCCAGAGAACAAAGCGTCTGCTCGTTTACGCCGTTTAAAAAAAAGGGTTTGGGACAACTTCAAAGAAATAAGACAGGGTTAAATAAATAAAGGTTTCAGGTAGTTGGCTGAGGTGGGTTATACATTTTGTTGTGCTTTCCAGCAGCCAGAACAAAGAGAGAAAAAGAGTAAGTTATAAAAATCACAGTGTTTGTAAGATAACCTTTTTTTTCTGCTTAGGCCCGGAACTTTCCCTGGTACTGAAACCTTTTCCTGTGGATCTTCATAAAGGTGAAGCTATGTGATACTGCACACCTATTCACTTTGACTTTCACGCCCCAGCTGAACAAAGATAAAATGCACAGTCTTGGTCTAACGGTGGGCAGGACCTTCTGCTTCCTCAGAACAGACACGAAGGTCATGAGGTCATGACGCTCATTTAATACATGTCCATAGAGCCCACTCGCCATCGGGAGTGCCAGGAGGGGAACCCAAAGTCCACTCCGCTTGATCCCAGACACACGAGACCGAACAGATCGGATTGGCGTGTCCCACTGCAGATGGAGGGCTCTGTCCCTCTCCTGCCACTGGGGCGTTTGAGGCAGGCAGTTGGAGAAACCCCTCTGCAGGGAAGGGACACTGTCAGGCTCGAGTCACGAGCTGTTGTGATGGACACAGACACGCAGGTGGTTGGCACCACCCTGTCCTGTATCACGTTTCAAGTCCCTCAAGCACAGGCTCCACGCTCCCTTTTCTCACTGGTGTCCCCTCACTGTGTGGAGAACGCGCCTTACACACCACAGTGCTCAGGGCGGAAGCAGGAACAAGCCACCTGGTCGGAGCCACGTGTCCATCACTCGTCACCCACCCTGTGTGCGTATTGCTAAGGGGTGCCGTCTGTCACTGTGCACCTCACTCCAGAGCCGGAGCGCCCCCACAGGCACCTACAGCACATGCCCACGGGCACACACCCCTTCCTGGGCACAGCACACCCACGAAGCTGCGTACCACCGAGGGCTGTCGCTCAGCACAGAGCAGCTTGATCTGTCCAGGAGTGAAGGAGCACCGCGTTTTGGCAGGTGTGCAGAGAGCACTTCTCAACGCCTCCCTGCGTCCCCGCCTCCCAGCACCCACCCCCTCCGCTGGCACTGCGAGCTGGGCTTCCTCCACGGCCCGCGCCCCGGACTCCGCACACGTCTGAACAGATGCCAACGCACTCGGGGAAAGAGATGACCTCCTGTGTCTTCAAGTGAGAGAGTGCCTAAGGAAAGGACAGCGGATGTGGCCGGCCGGCCCTGGCGGTGATGATCTGGACGCAGTGCCGCCGACCTGAGGGGACCAGGGCTGAGGCGTCCAGCTGGTCTCAGGGATGTTTAATGTTCCAGGCTCCTACCTCATTCTTCCGGCCCCTTAAAGCTTCAGAAAACTATGCTCATGTGACATTATACCACAGCGGGGGCTGGGAGGCATAAATAGGCCAGTACAGCTGTGTTCTAGCAGAACCAGAGGTTCCAGGGGAGAACGCGAATGTTCTGAAGCCTACTTTATCTTGCCGAGTCGTATCGGGGGCCTGAGCTGAGTGGGTGTGAGGTGGCGTGACAGCTTAGAAGAGTCGGGCGGGGCACAGGAACCCGAAGACGGAAGAGCAGGACGTGTGGGAATGGCCACAGGAAGTGGACCACTTATCGGCCGGAGCAGCAGTGGCCACGGGATTCCGTCTTCAGGGGCAGGAAAGGCCGGTGCACAGAGGTGATGGGTGACCCGGGGCTTCTTTTCCCCACGGAGGGCAAGGCGTCAGTGACGTGACTTCAGGGACAACATGGGATTCTACGCTAGCTACCGGGATGGACTTCTCAACACTAGAGAGTCTCACTGCCACCGACTGCTGAAGGAAGCGAACACCCAGTCTCCTCTGTGAACATCCTCAGAGCCGAGATGGGCTTGACGTGGTTCTGCCCTGACTCCCGAAGTGCTACCCAAATGGGAAACTGATCAAGCTGCATCCGGGTCTCTTGCGGTGGACACAGAGCCTTACAACATCTCCATCTCCCTGGGAACACACTCCTGCATGAAGGTCCTGAGCGACCCACAGCAGTGGCCTCGACACGCTGGAGGAGCTGCAGCCCGGACGAGACAACGCGTCTGCTCCACACCAGTGGGGGTCACAGAGACACGCAGAATGGGGAACAGAGTGGTCACGTGCGAGGCGAGAACAGGCCCAGTCTTGTCTGTTTCTGTCCTCAGGCTCACCGTGGGAATTATACTTTACGGCTAAGAAAAGGCTGCTCCCAGGACTGAGAGGAGGCTGAAGCGTCTACAGGAACATCTAGGAAGGGAGGCGGCCGTCAGAAAGTCTTCCTGAGCTCGCTGCTCTTCCCCTTCTGGGGGGCCTCTGGGGGGGGCCCGGGAGGAGGCGGTGGCGGCTTCTCCCTCCCGTGAGTCTCCCGGTGCTTGCCCAGCACGGAGCTCTTGCTGAAACGCTTGCCACAGAGTGCACAGGCGTGGGGCCTGTCTCCAGTGTGTGCTCTCCGGGGTTCTCGGAAGCGGGCACAGGTACCGAAGGACTTTTCGCAGTCCACGCACTTGTAGGGACTCTCACCGGCGTGCACCCTGCTGCGGTGTGCACTCAGGTGCGAGCTGCTGGGGAAGCCCTTCCCACAGTCCCCACACGGATAGAGCTTCCCCGCCGTGTGGCTTCTCTGGTGGGCACCAAGGTTGGAGGCATCCTGAAAGCTTTTCCCACAGTCCGGACACTTGAGGGGTCTCTCTCCTGTGTGGGCTCTCTGGTGTCGGGTCAGGCTCCTGCTGCCCCCAAAGCGCTTCCCGCAGACAGCGCACTGGTGAGGGTTCTCCTTCTGGTGGGTCGCCCGGCACAGGAGGCGAGCGCCCCTTCCAGAGCTGTCTCCGTACTTGAGGAGTCTGTAGGGCCTCCTCCCCGGGAAGGGCCTTGGAGGCACCAGAGCTTTCCCCAGGTCTCGGGGCTGGGCCCCCAGCTTCCCCGGCGGCCGTGTTCCTTGGAGGGCCTCCCATTGTCTCCCTGAGATGCTCTCCCTTTTGCGGCACCTACCTGGGTCGCTGTTCTGGGAGGTGACAACCCTTTTTGACTTGCCGAGTAATGGCCTGTGCTGCTCCATGTCCTCACAGATCACCTGCATGGCATCCTCCTTCATACGGCCTCCAATTTCAAAACCTGAAAAAAAGAGAATAAAAATGTTGACAGTCCTGTCTGAACACAACGTGACCTACAAGGCTTCCTGTGTTACGACCTCGCCGTGCTTGGCTGGCCTCAGGTCCTGTTCCTTTTCCCTGACTCATTAGGCCTTATTCTCATTCAGTTCCAAGAACAGCCAGTGACACCTCGTGCAAAGCAGGCCTTCGGAAATGTCTTCTGAATTGAATTATAATCCAGGCCACTATTCCCCATCTGTATCCTGATTAACATGGGAGCTAGCTGGCTTCGCTCCCGGAAGTTCCACTCTAATCCATCCTGCTTCCAGAATTCCACATCTATCCTCAAATGCACTGTCTTACACTAACGTTTACAGTGGGTTCTTGTGATCGAGTCCAAACTCCTCAAGGGCTTCTGGGCTCATCAACCCCTAATCGGTATCCTGCCTGTCACTCTGTTTTTCTGGCTGTCTCTCACACAGACTCAGTTCTCACTGTTCCCCAAACCAGAACGACCCTCTGTCACCTACAGCCCACGCCCAGGACAGTGGAGAAGACAAGGCCTCCCTGGTTCTGTCTCCGTCCTGGTCACTTGTTAGCTCTGTGGTTTTGTATTAACTTTTTACTGTGGAAACTCAAGCACATGGGAGAGCAGAGGAGAGTATATACAAGGAGCTTCCACGGACCCCTCACACCAGTCGCTTCATTGCCAGCCCCACACGCTCCCCCCAACCCCATCATTTTGAAGTGGATCTGACATTGTCCTTTTACAGCTGTCCCTTGTTCCCCAAACTGTACTGATGCCCACACGCTGCTTAGTGAGTGAACAGTCCTGCGTGGCTCACAGCTCTCTAGGTTCCCAGCAGGCTGCTTTCTGGCTTTAACCACGTCCCCGGGCGGCCCTTACCACGTGGGCTCTGCAGGGGCCCCGGAGAGCCCCGGCAGTCCGACTTGAGCACAGTTCCCTCCTCGCTCGTTCTCTTGCCGCCACAATCGTCTCCCACTGCCTCCTGGGCCGTCTCCTCCAGTTCCCAGCCTGGAGGCTCTTGGGGTTCGGTCTCAGGACCCTGTCTTTCTGGCCTTGAGGGAGAAGGGACAGGAGCCCGAGCGTTGATGAGCGCGTCCATCTCCTTGTAGAAGGCGCAGGGCTCGAGCACGTGGCCGCTCCTCACTCTGCGGTAGCTCTTCTGGAGGCTTTTGAACTTGGTCCGGCACTGCTCGGGGGTCCGCAGGAAGCCGCACGCACGCAGCTGCTCTGCCACTGCCCCGTACAGCTTGCTCTTCCGGTGACAGGCCTGGAGCGCTTCGTAAAACCGAGTCTCACGGAGGATGTCCAGGAAGGTCTTGGTCTCCTCGTAGCCCCAGTGCACGCCTGCCGTCCAAGGAGAAAGTTCAGAGAGGTAAGAGGAGGCGCCAGTACCTCCACACATCATAGGGGTTCAAGAAAACCGGAGCCACGGCAACTCTGATGTGCCTGGTACAGCTCGGCCCCAGATGAGAAGGTCTATGTAAAAACGTCTACACTAGTTTATTGAAGGACATAAAAGAACTAGAAAAATGGAGAGAGGCTACGTTTCTGGGTACGAAGACTCAAGTTGTACAGACACCCACTCTCAAGTGAGTCTATAAAGTCAAAATCCCAGTAGGGTTTTTAATTGAAATCGGTCAACTGATCTCGATTTGCTCGCCAGAGTGGAAAAGCAGCCCCTATGCCTGCCACTGCTTAGGTGACTAAGGAAGGATTTAGCCGTCTTTTCCAAACACTGAAGAGTAAGGACGAGGTCACCCAGCAGGACCTTTCCCCCAAAGTGCCTGTCACTCTCTTAACCAGCCTTCCTTGAAGAACAGAACTATGCTCTGTTTGGAGTAAGGAAAGGTTTAGTGATTGAGAAGGCGCCTCAAACGCATCGTTAACAAAGTGCAGTGTTCAGGCCATTTTATTTCAAGGGAAGGGGAGACGGGAGGGCGCCAGGGGACTGAGGACCAGAGCCGCTGGGTGCCAGCAGGGGTCCGGAGACAGTTCTGCTGGTTGATGTGCATCTGATCCCGAGGTTGCTGCAAATCTTTGATAAACAGCCATTATTTCTGATGTCTCTGCGTCCTGTGCTCTGAGAGATGAAAGGCTCTGTGAGAGTAGCGGGCGCTGCTTTGACAGCAGAATGAGGCTTTCTGGGTCACGTCTGAGTGTAGTTTGCTAGGCTATGCTTTCCGTGTGCTCAGAAAGGAGGAAAAGGTTGTTTCCATCCTCAGCCTTACCGGGTGCTCCCTCCCCGGCCCAGCACTGGGGCCCTTTTGAGACCAGCCCCCGAGCCCCGCCTCACGCCTACGGACGTCTAGGCTGGTCACTACCTGTACGTGCGCAATACACCTTCCCATCTTTTCCTGAGCTTTTTCTTTTGAACAAGAGTAGTCACGAGTACACTCCCAGCTCTCCTACCTGGTTGATTCTTCCCGTCTGAGAAGCTGCCTTTCCGTGAGATGGGGCAGAGAAACATTGCTAGTAACTGGTATCTGGCAATATTTTCCTGTGTTTTAACACTCCATCTATGCCATCGTGTTCACACCAATCACAGCCCTGGTAGTCCCTGTCGGACTTCACAGGTGAGGAAACTGAGGCTCAGGGTACTTACAGGGTATGTCTGCTGTCACCCAGTTATTAACTGGCAGTTTAAGTCTGCATGTCCCAATGCCCAGATTTCAACACCAGCTTTCTTGTGTGTGGTATAAGGTACATCTTTTGTCCTTTTAATTCCAGTGTCTGTGTTCTTACACTGAAGATGTAGCTCTTATAAGCGACATATAGTTCTTTTCTTAAATGTCTGATAACTTCGGCCTTTTAAATCTGTAATTAATTATGTATTTGGATTCACACCTACTGTCTTACTATTTTTTCCCCATTGACTGATCTACTTTGTGTTCCTTTTCCCCTCCTTTTTTCTTTTAGAATTTCATTATTCATTCATTGTTTAACTACACATCCTTTCCTGGTTACCTTAGTCTAATAGTGTATCTTTGGCCTTTCACCACCTAACACAATTGACTGCTTTATACCGATTCTCAGATAGTGGTGGACCCTTACGCCCCTCGGACTCCATTTACCTCCCCCCACAGGCCCCAATGCGCCAACCACACTGCGTTCTAACCCAGTGCTGCTGCCCTGGGGCTGGAGACACCAGAGAGCCTGTCCGTCCCGTGGCCAGTCCCGGTGACCAGAGGAAGATGTGGGCGACGGCACCCCCCAGGTCTGGTCACTGCTGGACTACTTTTTCCACAAGACCACATCATCCCTTTTCCATCTTCCATTTTCAAACCAGAAACAGACGTACAATTCTTACCACTCAGGTTCTGGAACAAGACCGGGGCGCCACGGACCTCAGGCTTCCGGATAAACTCGAGGCTGCTTTCCTCCTCGTCAGAGTCTCCTGCGGCTCCTTCCTCCACCAGCAGACCGATGCGCCCCTCAGCACCGAGCCCCGAGCCCTGCAGACTGGGGAGAGACACAGCCGCCTTCGACTTGCCAGGGGACGATGCGTGGGCTGCGGGGTTCAGCAGCGCGTCCATGTCCTCAAAGAAGGCACAGGGCTCGAGCATGTGGCCGCTCCTCGCTCTGCGGTAGCTCTTCTGGAGGCTTTTGAACTTGGTCCGGCACTGCTCGGGGGTCCGCAGGAAGCCACACGCCCGCAGCCACTCCGCTACGGCCCCGTACACCTGGCTGTTCCGGGGGCATGCCTGAAGCGTTTCGTAGAAGCGGGACTCTCTGAGGATGGCAAGGAAAGTCTTGGTCTCCTCGTAGCTCCAGTGCACGCCTGCCACCTTCTCGTCCTCCAAGCCCCACTGCTGCTGCTCTCTCCATGTCCTGCCCACGTTCCTGGCAGGAAGCTGCCCGGCACCAGCCGACTTCTCTCGGATGTAGCCACTCCTCAGGACGGTCCTGCCATCAGAGGGCTGCAGGCCTGCGGCCCACGGTTCCTTTCTCGGCTCTGACAGGGCTCTCTTGTTAGAGGGAGACTCTGCACTTCCTACAGGAAGAGAAACACACGCCGTGTGAGACCTAGGGTCCTGAGTGCATGCCCATCTCCCGCTGCAGCACACTCTCCTGGACCACTCTCTCATGTGCCCTGTGAAGGTCTCATCTAGTCACCTTCTCGGAGGCCTCCTCAGCCACGACAGTGCACACTAGTTATTCTTACACAAGCTCTGTGCACAGCCACCCACTAACTGACACTATCAGTTTACTTCTCATGTATGTACCACTTCTGTCTGCAGTGGCTCTCAAAGGAAAACCTTTAAGCGTGAGAAACGCGTTTTCATTACCTTTGATTCCCCTCTTGGTATCTAACACCGTGCTAGGTTCAGAGTGCGCTTCTGACCAGCACTGTTGCTTACACAAGAAGTGTGCTTCTCTCTGCTCTCCACACTCCCTGCCTCCCCAACAACGTGCATGCACACGCTGGGCTGTGAGAGATGGGGGTCAGGGATTTTGGACATATCTGACAAGCTAACTGGGAGAGCAATGTAAGAACAGGGAAGCAAACTGAGCTTGTTCCGATACCGGGGAGAGTGACCCTTGAACGTGAACCCTGGTGTCACCCCCACTGCACTCGTGGATGGGGGAGGTGCCTTAGTCTCTGCAAGCCCCAGAATCCTAGGAGGTGGCATCGGCTACTCTGAGAGGTGCTGGGCGCATTAAATAAGTGACATCTGCTCACTGTCCCAGCCCACTGGGTACGCAGTAAGATTCGGTTTTCTTCTCTAGACAACACACAGAGAGGCTCACGGAACTCGCCTGGAGAACCCCTGCTGAAAGGGCCCCGGGGCTGGAGGTTTGCTCTGTATTTTTACATGAGAGAACTGAGTGTAGAGACAGCCGCGCTGGGTGGCTGTAAGGACTAAGCAGGCGACGTAAACGCGTCGCGTGAGGTGGCAGGAGTGCGGGAGGTGGCAGTTCGGCACGAGCTTCCTCACTCAGCTCTGGCCACCTGGCGGCCTGTGAGGAAGGAGGTGGGCCCATGGTGCCTGGAACTGGAGTTTTTAAAAGATGCGGGGAATACAGGTTTACAAACAAATTTTTAGTTAAAGCTCTGTGCAAGGCCAAAATATGTGCATAGGCTAGAGTCAGCCAGGAGCCATTCGTTCACAGTCTGATGGCAGACCAGGCAGATGTCTCTGGGCCTGGGTCCCTAACACTCTGTAATTCTACGTGAAGGCACTGGCTAAATCTGAAATCTCAAAGCGTGGTGCGCATCCCACTTGCGGCAGGGTTTACTAAGGACACCAGTTCAGCATCCTCCTCGGTCTGGGTGCTGTGCGGCCACGGCAACGCCTGCAGACATCCATCGTGCAGCAGCTGAGTACATGCTGGCACGCCTCTGCGCTGGGGAGGGCACTTGCTCACTGGTGTATCATCAGTGTCATGCAAAAGCGGTCATTTCCCTCCAATTGCTTTAGTTGCTTTCTAATTATAAACAGTTGTGGTTTATCTTCCTTCACTCAGTTTCGCGTGGTCCATTTTAGAATCTGTACCTTAGCGTCTGTATGTAGCCTTGTCCAGAACTTTCTGCGTCTGTGGACATGCCCTGTGATGTGCTGCCCAGTACAACTACTGAACACCTTAGATGCGGCAGCTGCCACCGAGGGGCTGAATTCTGATCTTCATTTAATTTCATAGATTTAAATTTAAGTAGGCACGTACGGCTGATGGCTACTCTCTCAGACAGCACACAGCACCCCAGTGGGTATCGGTGCACGTTTCAGGCATGTAATTTTATTCCTAAGTAGTCTGACTTGTACCTTACATAAGAATGAACCACATTTAGCCCTCCTGCTAAAGCAAGTGACATAATCCTTCAAAAGGTGGCTTGTAAAGTGACACTCTAAAATGGTGATTTATGCCGTTAAATTTGTGCTATTTAAATAATTCACAACATGCTACTTGAGGTTATTGTATTGAAATTCCTTTTTCCTTCCATTTATAAGATTTCCATCCACCCATAAATATTTGCTGGGCACCCACCCACATGTCAGGCTCTGTGAAAATTGGTGAGTTTACTACATATAAACAAAAACAAACCCTAAGGAGCCCTCGTGACTTTGGAGCTTTGTCTAGAGTGTAAGTTTACATTTAAGTTATAGGACAGCCAGACGTGATACCTCTCTGACATTCTCATCACTAAATTATAACAATGTATATCAATTTTCAACTGGAAGGATGAATGAGGCAAGAGAACATGGATAGGTGATTGCTAGCCAGTCCCAGAAACGATCAGACAACCCACGGAGGTCCTTTAAGTGTTAACACTGTAACTATCTGATCATCACTAGAAAGGAGAACGTTAGACATTCCCACGTGTTCAATGTGAAAAGGGAAAGATGCCTTACCCGGGGAGGCCACATTCCCGGCCCCGTCTTTCCTAAGGTCCTGGTGGAGGCCTCTGTGGGCAGCGACCTGACGCATACGCTTTCTGCAGGAAGAGCCTCTCGCCATGTGGACGTCCTTCTGGGGCTCCTGGAATGACACTGACAGCAGTGACTACCAAGATAACCATGCGGGTCTTTGAAGGATGAACGATACTGGGAGAAGTGGAAGGGCCTACAGAAGAATTAAAATCCAGGAACTGAGTGTGTATCACATGCCCAAAGGTGCAGAAGATACTATAAAAAAATCCCAAGAGAGAAGACCCAGCAAGGGGTCCCCATGACTCAGAAAAAGGTCCAGTCTTGTCTGGAAGAGGGACAAGGGGGAAAGTCCCTTGGAGGGAGTACGGACATTGGAGGACAGGGAAGGCCCCACCGAGACTGAATTCCCCGGGAAGGCAGGCCACAGAGAACAACACAACCTACCTGAGACCCAACAGGAAGCCGGGTGGCTGTCCCTTCCTGGTCTGTGGTGTCCCATTCTCCAGCTGGGGCTGGCACCCAGGGAAAAGGACACGCTGTAAGAGACAGCACAATTAGCGTTCTGGGCTCTGGCCCTTTAATTCCCACTGCTTCTGCTCTTAAGGAAGGAGCTTGCATCAAAGAGCAACAAATACAAACAGGCCATTTCTCAGGGAGCTCAGGACAATGCCTGCAGCCCAGGGACCCACAGCAGGTCACAGATCCTAAGGGAGCAAACAGGTCCTCAGAGGGGCGGGGAGGCATCTGGGAACTGGGGAGCACGTGTCCCAATGAAAGGGTGCAGCAGTGCTCAGCGGGGTGCTTCACTGTGACACTGTAGCCCTGGTACAGCCAGAGTGTCTCACTTTTTCAAGAGAAGCCAGAAATCTGGACTCTTAGGTGAAATCTCCAAAGTCTTTTTTTTTTTTTT